AAAACACCTGGGGACCCACAGGTTGTAAACCACCGCTCTAGAACAGTGGTTCCCAACCTTTGGGCCTCCAGGTGTTTTAGACTTCAAGTCCCAGAAATCCCAGCCAACTGTTTACCAACTGTTAGGAACTGTGGGAGCTGAAGTCCAAAACACCTTGAGGCCCAAAGGTTGGGAACCACTGCTTTAGAAGCTCAGCTCCATTTCCCAGCCAGTGATACACCAGATCATATATTAGCAAAACTCATCCTACATGTCCTAACTCCTTTAATTGCAAATCATATAAGCAGTATATTAAAAAGGGAAACCCTTAGCATAGTGAAGTACAGGGAGCCTCATAACTCTTAAATATGTGGAAAGTCCTCCTGAATTATAATTAAATGTTACGTTTATATTATGTGTGTGTCGACTTATGCAGATCAAAGCCACCTTGACTGAAATTAAAGTCTATTTCCAGCTCAGGAGTTCTCTCGGGCAGCTGTGGCATGAAGCAAATGTACCCCCAGGCTTTAAGATATAAACCCTTTAGAAACCATTATTCCAGCAATAAATTAACACAAAGCTCTTTTAGGTCTATTCTTAAAAAGGATTTAGATAAAAAGTTTGAGAACTATCCTCAATAATTTCTGTGTCATCAGTCACATTCCATGAAACCTTTTCAGATACCAATTTAGGCAAACAGTTATCTCAAACTGAGTTCGTGAATTCTATCTTGTGTCCATTTTTCTAACTAAATTCAATCTACATTCCAGAAAGCGGTTCCCTTTCAGCATATCCTCCACATATATGGCATGTATATATGGCCAAAAACTTCATAGATTATATTAATATCACTCTCTGTTATCTTGTTGAATTTTACATAAGAGATATTTCTTGAGCTATGTAGCTTTGTCTATTGCAGGGGAGGCAATCTGGTGCCCTCCAGATGTTTTGGATTAAAACAGTCTGGATCACTCCATGTAGTCCCAGATTGTGGGAAGTGAAGGTCAAAACAAGTATAAAACACCTACAGTGACCATATTAATAAAACTTAATACTGCACAGTTATTCCTGGTAGTAGTCTTGGTTAAATGAGTGATTCAATTTCTATATATCCCTATATGTTTCTAGAAATAAATTGGTTTTTGGTTTAAGATATAACATGTTGCTCTGTTTGTTCCATAATAAAGGTTTTATCACTCTATATTCCTAGTCACATTGGGTTAATGGTAACCGAAAGTTACTAAAAAGTAATATAGTCTTGTTAGTCTTAAAGTCTCCTTGTAAACATACATGCTCAGAAGTACTTGTTTCCCAATGTGTCCAGGAAAATATCCTATAGATTCATTATGTATGTTGAGCTGTTATGTTGAAGTTACTATGAGTATTAGCTTTCACGAACTGCAATTTTCTTAAATGAGTTTTGAGAAAACCCTGGTGCAAAAACAGAAAAAAGAGTTTTATGGATTCACATCAGTTTTAGATGGCTCCTTCGGTCTGCTTCTGAATCCCCTCGGGGAGATAGGGCATCCTGAGTCCACTCAAGGACGGGCTATAAACAGCGTATTACTATGCTGATTGGCACAACCTGGGGATCACAACCAGATACAGTGAAGATATCTGCCTTTGCGCTTTGCTACTTTGCTACTGAATACACATGTCAGTGTGGAATACATCTCATCATGTTAAAACAGTAGATGTAGCTCTTAATGAGACATGCCACATTATCACAGTATGTCTATACCCCACACCACTGGAGAAATTATATTGTTTAGCCAGTATTGCACCACCTGACATCTGTCGGGAAGTGGAAGCCAATAATGAAAGGACCAAAGGACATCTCGGGCCCATCCTCTGTTAGGATATCAGCCAGCATGCCAACAGCTTAAATTAAGAAATAATTTCCAAAGATCAAGAGAGATATTCACAGGAACACCTCAGTAAGAAAGAATCAAAAAGTGGCAGGCTAAAACCTAGCACCTTAATCAGTGGCTGAGACTGGATGACAAACTCCCTCCTGGGCACACAGAAGAGTGGGCGACCTGGAAAGCGTTGAACAGGTTGTGCTCTGGCACCACGAGATGAAGAGCTAACTTTAAGAAATGGGGCTTCAAAGTGGAGTCCATGACATGCCAGTGTGGAGAAGAGCAAAACACAGACCACCAACTACAATAAGTCTGAGTCCTGCCACATGCACAATGGAGGACCTTCTCACAGTGACACCAGAGGCACTCCAAGTGGCCAGCTTCTGGTCAAAGGACATTTAGCATAATGTCAAGTTTTTAAATTTTGTTTGTGTTTTCAAATACATGTTAACTGTACCCTCAACTCACTTCTGACACTAATAATAATAATGATAATAATAATAATAATAATAATAATAATAATTCACACTATAGAAAAAATCTGAGGGAGTGATAGCATGGACATTCAATGTGCAGTGTCAAAACACATACAATAATGCCCCCCTTGGTAAGTTCTTACAATTTTGCCCTGGTTATTTCTGAATGAATGTAAAGAACTGTTTTAATATCTAATTTCAATATTTGCGTTTAGGGAACAAATAAAATCAGCACAGCATAGCTGAGGTCCACTTGGTCGCTCATTGTACCTTTCCCCAAATACAGCAGTGAAATTGGTAGTATTTAAGTTGAGCATTCTCTCTAGATAGGAATCAGGATACTTGGAAGCATCCTCCTTCCTTATTTATTCATTTCTTCTCAGTGTCTCTTTCGGTATTGCGTTCATGTGGATTCCTCTGTGGCTTCTGTTGTGACAATCTGGAACAAGTAGGGTGTGATGAAATGCTATGATCCATATTGTCAGATTCCATTCTCCAGAGTGGTATCCATTAGTCTATTACAGCAAAAGCAATAAAGCATCTTCTGGCACTTTAAAGACTAGAAGATTTATGTGCCAGCACAAGCTTTTTTTGGACAAGAATTCGCTTGGTGAGATGCAGGATATTTAACCCTGAATTTAATTTCAGACCCTTTTCTCTTCCTAGCTGATTTTTTTTTGGGTGACTCCAAGTATATGACATCGAGTCAATGAAAAAAGAGGAAGCTTTTCTTAAAAACAGTTACTGTTTCAGCAATTACAATTCAAAAGCATGTCCCCAACGTCCAATAAAATTTTTATAGATACTAAAGTCCCTAAGAATTTACCATCTGCATTATGAAAAATCAAAAAGTTTAACAAGACATGTGGCTTCCTGAGTTAATAGTTTTAGTACATTATCCTCCCGTCTCACTATTATCCCCATTGCAAGGTCTGCCAGTTAGAGTGACTTGTAAAGTGATGTGGTTGCCTCACACAGTGGCTCTAGGGAGTCATGAAAGGATAGCTCATTGTGTGTTATTGTTGCTGTTTTAGTTTTACTTCCAGAAAAGGGAAAAGGTGCTTGTGAGATTTTATGTCTCACGTACTGAAATAACTTGACTGGCTATAATGTAACTGGAAAAAAAGACACTACCTTCAGCCAACTTAGGATAGTTCTGTTGCTTGGTAGGTATCTTGAGATCAGAGAATCCATACTCATTGCTTTATTTGGTACCACACTGCAGGAAAGAAGGGCGTATCAGCAGCAACTAAATCCTTTCTAAGACTTTTGGTCAGTGACTATTGTATTGGAGTAACAGTAATTTCTGAAGACTTAAAAAATAACTCTGAAGGCCTTACAATAGAATGAAACATGTCCGGCATTTTGAAAATAAAACCTCCCTTCACGGCACCCTTAGATGTGTCCTTTATCATATAAAAAACGGGATGATTCTTCTACTGAATTGCTACCGTTGATGCCCTTCTCTTAGGCTTACAATATGTATTCAACTTCATGCATAAGATGAAGGCAGGGTTTGGGGCCAAAATGACATATTTTGATATGACCCATGGATAAGAGAGGAATAAGCATCAGCACAACTGCTGGCCACCACCATAGAATCTTTCGCCATTCTAGTCAGAGAAGGAGATGGTTAATTTTCAGATAAATGTTAAGGTAATAATAATAACCTTAACATTTATAACACCATTGCTCAGATGATTCATTGGAACTTGTGCCACAAATAACATCTGCCTGCAACAAAGAACTGGTGGGATCACAAGCCTGAAAGAGTTATAGAGAATGAACATGCCAAACTCTTCTAGGACTTTCAGATTCAGACAGACAGAGTTTTGGAGCTGAATACTCCTGACCTCCCAATCGTGTTAAAAAACAAAGTATGGATCGTCGATGTCGCAATCCCAGGTGACAGCAGGATTGCAGAGAAACAACTGGAAAAGCTGACACGATATGAGGATTTAAAGATCGAACTGCAAAGACTCTGGCACAAGCCAGTAAAGGTGATCGGCACACTGGATGCAGTGCCTAAAGACCTTGGCCTGCACTTAAATACAATCGGCGCTGACAAAACTACCATCTGCCAGCTGACCAATTGTTGACCAATTGTCAACTGCAAAAGGCCACCCTACTCGGATCTGCACATATTATTTGCAGATACATCACACAGTCCTAGACACTTGGGAAGTGTCCGACATGTAATCCAACATAACAGTCAGCATAGTGATCTTGTTTGCTGTGTACTAATCTTGTTGTGTTTAATAATAATAATAATAATAATAATAATAATAATAATAATAATAATAATAATAATGTTTTATTTTTATCTTGCTCCCTCTCCCCAAAGAGACCTGGGGTACAATCTAGCAGTGAAAGGTGATAACTTAGCCAGCTTCTGGAGAACCTAAAAGAGACACAGACTGCCCTCTCTCTGCTCCTTTTAGAGAAGGCACCAAAGAGCTACTACCAAAACATTCCTGCCCAACTATTCAAAAAGGCTAGAAGTGGTGACAAAGCTTACTTTAGGTTATCCAGGATGGACTAATCTCTTACCTTTTGCTACTGTACTCAGAGAAGGGGATGGTTTCTTTTTGACAAGAATTAAGATGAAAACAAAAACAAATAAAATCCGGTGTACCAGGCTATTGTATGCTTGCCCAGTAAATGACAGGATGGCTGAGGACACTTTAAAACTTCCTTCTTCTGCTTTATTGACAAGTAAATTGTTCAAAAATGTTCTCACAATTCAATAATTACAAAGACTTTAGACTTACATTAAAAAAAGAGTAAAAATCAGAGGATCCCAAAAGCAGTAGTGTCCAGCTCAAATTGAGCTTCATTGATCGAGAATCTGAGAAAGAGCAAATATTGTCAAACACTTAATGTAACAGGATTAAATGTTGACTAGAACCACTTGCTTTAAACTAGAGATAAGTGCACATCCTATACAGTGTTTCAGGAAAGAGGATTAGCCATTGGAACAGCGTTAGCCCATAGAAACCAGATTTTAAAACAATTGACATCCAACTGTCATTAAATTGGCACAGAAGGCACACTAGTGTGACAATGACAAACTGGATATGCCAGCCACAGAATTAATTTACACGCTTTTAAATGAAACATGATCACGATTTTGGAGGGGAGGGGAAGGGAAAATTACTAAATGTATAATACATGGAAGCATGGGATTAAATATACACACAATATGTCACTGCTGCACATGGGCCATAGCAAAATATACAGGAGTGTGCTGTGCATTTTCCCCCTACATGATCAATACTTTTGATTAGCAATCATGGGGTCTTCATGCAGGTGAGAATACAACGAATTGGGGAAGGAAGGAAAAAGACAATGAGGCACCCTCATATACATACCTTTCAACTTTTCCACTTTGGTTAACAATAAAAAGAGACTGATGTTTTAAGAACTACACAATCCCTTCATAGAAGCAGCCTTCAGGGGAGCAATCCCAAAGGAATGCTAGCTAGCTAATTTTATTTTTAAATGTAGTGTTAAATGTTTACACTGAAACCAACCAATCAACCAACCAGCCAACCAACCAAGAGAAATTACTCAAATGTGTGAGAAGATGGATAGCAGGAAAAGCAGAGTAAAACCTGTTTCACAGCAGTAATTTAAATTTCGTTTTTTAAAAAAGGCCCTGCCCTGGCTAACGAGATCTAAAAAAGCAGGGTAAGGATAAAATGATACTGGTAATAGTTTTATGTACATGACTAAAAAGCCAGGAGAAAGACATTTACAAAGCTGAGAATGTATGTAATGGCTAAATAAGTTAAAAGGCCACAAGCTATAACCACAGTTTTCAACTTCCTGACATGTTCTACTGATGCTGGGAATGGCCCTACAACTTCCTATCATTCTCCTCGACATTGAGAAAAAACAAAACAAAACAGAATATATTTAGCCAAGGATGTGACTAGTCTGCTTTTACTTCCTAACCAAAAGGTCTGATTTTTTTTTCTAAAAGGATTTCCTGCTAACAAGACATTACTTCATCCTATAGAAAAATATTATTCCTGACACTGCATAATAGTAAACACTACCAGCATCTCTTCTCTATTTTTCAGTTTAAATATGAAGACTGTTTACCAGTGGCCTTTAGCATATGCCACAATAATATCACAGCTGTGCAGAAATGGGTCCACCAAAAATGTAAGAATTGACAGTTTTGCATTTAAAATGACAGCAAAACTTGACCACTGCAGTTATAATGAATTCTCCTCCATTTTTTAAAATTCCACGCCCCAACCTAGTCTACAATCTAGATACCATATTCACTTCTGTGCAAAACTAGAACTTCTGTATCAGTCTTGGCACTGTTGTTGGAGACAGGCATCTTGCTCTTCAATACTCCACGGAGTAGTGGATGATTGCAAATGAGAAAGGGGGAGTAGGTGCTGTAGTTATGCATCACAGGCCGATGGGTCCAATCCATCTAATGTCAGCTGATTCCTATGCGGTGAGTTGGGGCTGGGGGGCCCGCTTGGGTTAGAACTGTTGGAAGGAGTAGAGTGCTTTGTAGAGTCTGAATCAGGCTGTTGAAAAGGAAAGAAAAACAACTGACACACTGCTATGCAAGCTTTCCAAACAAATCCTTCTCCTCAGACCAACCCAACAATTGTAAGAACCTCGAAAGCACTACACAATCCACAGTACACCCTGATCCACCCACCGCCCCATTTGTTGATGCTACATCTCTTGCACTTCTTCATTAAGAAAATATAAGAGAGGGAAGAAGTAGTTTTTCAGTGGTGGAAAAGCGAAACCTTTCAAGCCACATGGATTGTTCAGAGGAGAAATTTCCTATTGGAGGCTCTATACAAGTCTTGTTTTAAGAAAGGAAAGTGGGATATAAATAGATATAATAATAACAACAACATCAACAATAAATGTGTTTGGGAGGTGAACAAAGATAATGAAAAAATCCCAAGACAATCAGAAGAAAACCCTGAAAGATGCCGCTGCATCTTGTTCAAACAGGTGCCTCTAAACTTCCATGGGGGCATGAAAAGAACCATTACAGAAGCTGAAAGCTCCTAGTTCCCATGAACCCTCACTTGGGGAAAAGAAATCAAAGGAATGGCTGCATAGAAAAGAAAGCGGTGGGGAATTCAGTAATGCTTACTTCACCAATTCAGAGGAGGGTTGGAAATTCATGAACCCTCCTCATACCAGCACAAACTTTCTTACTTAATACTGTACTGTTTCTAGACTCCTTCCTAGTAATCTTCTAGTTCTTTCCCCATTAAAATGGAGCCCTGATACTATGGAAAAGACTTTCTTCCCTGACAAGAAGAATTATGGTTTAACCTATGAGCTTTGAAGGCCAAAATCTCATATTCCTTCAAACTCTTCCAGATCTTTACATAGAAAACAATAATCGAGGACATCAATAAACATACAAATACTGCTGGTTAGAAAAACAAAGGACCAAATCCAGTTGTATGAAACATTTGAAGAATTTGCCCATTGATTACTTATGCTCAAAAAAAGAGAGAACTGAAGATTTCTGACTGCAAGGTAAAAGTGTGCAGATGTCACCAGGGATGCTGGAAATATATTTCAGCATGAAAAAACTGGCTGCATAGCCAGTTAAAGTTAATCTTCCCTAATTTGATACACCCCAGATGTATCAAATTATGTATTTTCTGCTATTTTGTTTATTTAATCACAGTTAGGTTGTTCTATATTGTTTAATGTGCATTGTCTTGATGTAAATTGTTTGTATGGTTTACTTTTTGGCATTGAATGTTTGCCATACTCATTGGAAACTGCCCTGAGTCCCTTTGGGGAAATAGGACAATTTATAAATAAAGATGATGATGACGACGACGACGATTATTATTGTCCACTCCCAGCATGTCATTGGCTTTGTAGCATGAGAAAAATGGGAGCTGTAATTCAACACATCTGGAGTGTCCCACCTTGGGGATGGCTGGTTAAGCCTATGCATTCACGATTACTTTCAAGATATCCTGCTGGCATTTGATGTGTAGCTCTTTTCTTTTCCATTAGCTGGCTTCCTGGACAGGTTCCCAGCATTTTTGGAATGTTGTTAACGCTTAACAACAAACAATGTCACAGCAGAATAGCTACTGTGGCAGTCATTTTAATTGGGGGGAAAAAGAATTTATATTTAGCCAATAGATTAAAAGGAGATATCCCCAAGAGATACAGCTGACAAGATTTTGCTGTGGTGTAAACAGCGAGTTTGTGTATAATGCTATTATTTAGACAAGATCAGCCAGAGAGAGAGCTGTGATAAGGCAGCATGCCATGAAGCAGAGCCACCTAGAGTTTTTATATTGTGTGCTCTAGATAAACAAATACACAAAACCCAAGTTAAAACCCAAGAATATAAGATGCAAGCAAGTATAAATGGAATATGTTACTTAGTACCTGGCATGCACAGGGACTTGCTAAGCAATGCTCCAAGCCATTTGCTTTCTGTTACTCTGAGTGGAGTCCCCCAACAGAGCTTCCCCTCCCTGCAGCCATTCTGGGACAAATTTATCACAGATGTTGTTAAGTGTTATAAAATTGGGTACCGATTTTCTAGCTTCAAAAATATAGATACCAATGTTTGGGAATCTCTCAGAACTCTAGAGACATCATTAATGGTTTACACAAAGTAGCCGGACAAACTGAGTGGCATAGGAAATCCAGAGTATCCACTTCAAAGCTTGCTGTTTTTGATATCCTATAGGAAGTATTGTCAAGAACCATAAACACTTTCAGATGTCTTCTGAGAATAAACTTGGGACAAATTGTTTCTATAATCTGTAGTGATGGAAGTTTCCAATATTAAGGAATTTTGTGTTTATGTAGAAATATGTAAGCTCACATAAAGTAGCAATTATGTATGATCTTGCCTACTTCTATCAAAGCAAGGCATGATACATTGATCTTGCAAATTTGTCTTACCTCTTTGTCAAACTCCTGGTCTGGATCAGACATACTCCGCAAAGGCATGGCTGCTCCTAGATCAGTGCCACCTGAAAAGCAACGATGTGTGAGAATTTCCCCTGTTTATAAAACAAGTGATTATAAATAGAACAATTTATAAATATAATCTATAAATAGATTATAAACAGATTATAAATTCTCCCACCCTGGACATTCCAGAGATATATAAAGCCCATTTTCCTAATTTCCAAGAGACCTCACAACCCCTGAGGATGCCTGCCATAGATGCAGGTGAAACATCAGGAGAGAATACCTCTGGAACATGGCCATATAGCTCGAAAACTTACAACAACCCATAAATAGAACACTTTCTACACTTACTTGAAGATGGCCATGAAATGTAGCTTTTGTTTCTCTGAGGGGGTTGGCGTGAAATGTTGGTCGTGGGAGGACAGGACTTTTCATCTTGTGACGGAGGTAGGACACTCTGAATCAGAAATGTAGCCATAGTCAATAAACAAGGCTCTTAAAGGTAAGTTTTTGTTGTTATTTGTGAAACTTCTAGTGGAGGTTTTAAATAAAATATAAAGGAAATTGTTCTATGGTGGTATTCTTGCAAATTTGATTTGCTTGACCCACAAGAGACATATAAATCGAAGTCATAGCATTCAAAGAGTCACCAAGAAGAAGCTCCATCTCCTCCATCCCTGCCCCCATCCCAAATGTTGTATAGATCCCGTGAGTCTCCTTTGGAGCTGTTTTGTGTCTCCATTGGGAGAGATAAAGCAAGGTATAAATAATAATAATAATAATAATAATAATAATAATAATAATAATAATAGCAGCAGCAGCAGCAGTCATCCCACATTCCTTCCAATTGCTGGAGGTAGGAAAACACAACTCACCAGCAATGAAGGCATTCCAGTTTGTTTGCCTTTAATATTATTCCCTTATAGACTAATCCTTTTGATCTGATGAGACCTTGTTAACTTCGAATGTTTACTGATTAAGCCAGTGTATAATCAGGGCTGGATATCAGCAGTGGAAGAATTGAAGGATTTTGACTGCACATTATGCCTTTAGGTTTTTCCTGTTACAAAAATCAGACTGTTGTGTGCTTTTCACCTATCTGACAGCTAGAAGAGTACATACAGGCCAAGTATCCCTTATCTAGAAATCCAAAATACTCCAAAATCCAAAACTGTTCACATGGGTGGCTTCAGCAGTGACAACTCTGCTTTCTGATGGTTTGATGCATACAAGCTTCACTTCATACACAAGATTATTAAAATATTGTGCATAGAATTACTTTCAGGCATTGTGTTTATACAATGTACATGAAACATCAATGCATTTTGTGTTTAGACTTGGGTCTCATTGCCAAAGTATTTCATTATATATATGCAAATATTCCAAAATTCATAAAAATTCAAGACACTTCTGGCCCAAAACATTTCAGGGAAGGGATACTCAACCTATAATAGATATTCTATTTTTAGTGAAAATATGTCAGACCATTTTTGAGTAAGATTTCTCTTTTCCTCCTACTGTTGGAAGGATGCATGAAAGCTGAGGAAAGGGTAACTGAAGTAGACATGATTTAGTTTAAACAATAGCAGCTGTTTTAAGTGCAGAATTTCCAACAGCAAGCACAAGTGAATAAGCACAGAGGTTAGCAACTCCCTGCAAAGCACTAGTGTTCCAACCCCACTCATTTTGGCAAAGGCATAACGTGCACCATCACCATCATCATCCACTTCAGTTCCTAAAAAGCTGCTCCTACCCTGGCTACAGAAGCAGAGGAGGGACAGGAAGAGGAGGGAAGCAGTGAGGAAGAATGGTCACTCTGGAGAAAGATTTCAGCAGAGATAGGACTCATGTGATAGACGTGCTCAAAGCCTGTTGGAGGTGATATCAGAGCAGAGTGTCGGGAGGATGAAGGGGAAGGAAATTCATTCTGTTATTTTAGACAAGACAAACAAGAAAAAGGAAGGAGGAAAGAACAGTTATTTAGAAAACACTATCACACTGCCGGCAGTGATGTTTGCTGACTTTGAGCATCCTGTAGGCATGGTGATGGTCTTAAAGACAGCCTTTACAGGCCTCATTTCTGCATGCCTGCTGAGTTTGACTAGGCACAGGGGCTGGACATGCATGTTTTTTCCCTGATTCGCCTCATGGTGGGACAATTAGATGACAGACATGAGCTCCTACGTTTACATAACATTTCTTGTGGGCTTAGGAGTGCATCTATAGTGTAATTTTAATGCAGTTTAACACCATTTAACTGCCCTGGCTCAATGCTTTGGGATTCTGGGATTTGTAGTCAGTTTTATAAAGCTAAAAACCATATAATACCACAGTTCCCATATTTCCAATGTACTGAATCATGAAAATTAAAGCAGTAGCAAACTGCATTAATTCTACAGTGTAGATGCACCCTAGGGTATGAAATCCTTCTAAAGGGGGAATTTTATGTTCCAGTAGCCATAGAAATATACATTTAGCCAATCTTTTCTTCATATGGGGAAGGAATGCCTATTTCTGATCTCTTCCAGGAAACGTTTTTGGCTTGATTAAAGATTACTGTTGACCACTAGTAAATCAAAAGCACTTCTGTTCAAATGTTAAAGCCCTCTACCAGCTTGTTCCTGAATATGTTTAGGATTGCTGTTGAGCAAAAGCATGCACAAGGCCTTTCAATAGGAAAAAAAGTTTTACCAATGGGAGATCCATGAGCACTTGCATTCCATCTCCTGGTCCCATATGAGCTACATGGTTGAAATTGGTTGGGTTTGAAATCATCTTGGATCTGAGCTCAGGATCTCGAAGCATCTCTCTAAATCAACAAAGACAGAAAATGATGATTTTGCATAATAGAACGTCTTTAACTACCAACTGCACATACAGATTAAAACCTTACCGTCTTTGCTGTAATCTTTCTTCCTCAGGGACTTTAAAAACAAATCTTCTTTTGCTTCTAGTACGAAGCATTTGCTTTTTGCTGTTGTCGGATGTTTCCGGCACACTAAGGGCAGCTCCTGCTGTAACAAAACAAAACACGCATCTGGAGAAGAGGGCTGCAGTCCAAGAAAGCTTATGCTGAAACAAATTGTATGGTCTTAAATGTACCATGAGACTTATTCTTTTTCGTTCCTGTCCTCTTTTAATACAAAATGGTTTCACAGAATCAGAATGATCCAGTTTGGACATTGTGAGACAGAACTGAAGGACCTGTGGCTTATCATGCACAAGCTGTTTCTACTCAAAATAAGTAGATATACTGTTGGGTTTCATCCCTGGTCTGCACAAGTATCTTGTGTCATCAGGCTTCCAGACCTCAACGAGTAGCTAGACTAGAAATAAGATTAGGCTGAGGGATCCCCCCCCCCCCAATTCCTATGCATTTTTCCCAAAAGGGCTTTTGTCTCTACTCTTCCTCCTTGAGGAGATGCGGAAAAAGGAGACCTCGAATTCGGCCTAATTCGGACCACCTATCAACATTAATAATCCCAAATCGGTCTCCTAAGGTAAATTGGTGTAACCAGGTGAGCGGGCCCTCTGGATTGAAGGTGGTGCTGCTGAACGCCAGATCTGTCAACGGAAAAACGACCTTTATCCAGGATCTAATCCTGGATGAGCGGGCAGATCTGGCGTGCATCACGGAGACCTGGTTGGATGAAGCTGGAGGCATGAATCTTACCCAGCTTTGTCCTCCAGGTTTCTCCGTACAGCACCAGCCGAGATCCGGACGGGGAGGCGGGGTCGCAGTGGTCTATAGAGATTCCATCCATCTGACCAGGAGTCCCATCCCGCAGACCACAAATTTTGAATGTGTCCACCTGAGGGTGGGTGACCGGGACAGAATAGGGATTCTGCTAGTGTACCGTCCACCTCGCTGCACTACAGTCTCCCTACCTGAGCTAGCGGGGGTAGTCTCGAGCCTGGCATTGGAGTCTCAACGGCTTCTGGTGCTGGGAGACTTCAATGTCCATGCCGAGGCGACCCTCACAGGAGCGGCTCAGGACTTCATGTCCGCCATGGCAACCATGGGGCTGTCCCAACAGATATCTGGCCCCACCCATTGTGCTGGACACACATTGGACTTGGTTTTCTGCCAGGGATGGGAGCAGGGTGGCGGTGTGGAGGAGTTGTCTATCTCTCCGTTGCCATGGACTGACCACTTCCTGATCAGATTTAGGCTCACTGCGCCCCCTAACCTCCGCAGTGGAGGACCCATTAAGATGGTCCGCCCCAGGAGGCTTATGGATCCTAATGGATTCCTGACGGCTCTTGGGGATTTTCCCGCCTCCTCGGTAGGTGACCATGTCGAGGCCTTGGTCGCTCTCTGGAATGGGGAGATGGCCAGGGCAATTGACATGATCGCTCCGGAACGTCCCCTCTCAAGTAGCCGAGCTAAACCAGCCCCTTGGTTTACTGAGGAGCTGGCAGTGATGAAGCGAAGGAAGAGGGAACTAGAGAGCGTGTGGCGTTCGGACCCAAGTGAATCAAATCGAGCACGGTTTGTGTCCTTTTTAAGGGCATATGCCGCGGCAATAAAAGCCGCAAAGAAAACTTTCTTTGCGGCCACTATTGCGTCTGCAAAAAACCGTCCGGCGGAGTTGTTTCGGATTGTCAGAGGTCTTTTAACTCCCGCCACCGCAGGCAGGAGCCCTGACAATTCGGGCACGCGCTGTGAAGCATTTGCTCGGTTCTTTGCAGACAAAGTCGCTTTGATCCGTTCTGGGCTGGACACCATGTTAAATGCAGTCTGAGGATGTGACACGAGCACCTGCTTGTCCTATTTTGATGGATTCTTTTCAGTTTGTGAAGCCCGAGGATGTGGACAAGATACTTGGAGGAATGAGGCCCACCACGTCCATCCTAGACCCCTGCCCATCCTGGCTTCTGAAGGAGGCCAGAGGGGGATTGGCTGAGTGGGTAACGGTGGTGGTTAATGCCTCCCTTCGGGAAGGCAAGATTCCAGCGTGCTTAAAACAAGCAATTATAAAACCGCTGTTGAAGAAACCATCACTGGACCCCACTAAATTGGACAACTTTCGGCCTGTTTCCAATCTCCCCTTTTTGGGCAAAGTCATGGAAAGCGTGGTGGCCTCACAACTCCAGGTATTCTTGAGAGACACGGATATTCTGGATCCGGCACAGTCTGGTTTCAGACCGGGACATGGAACCAAGACGGTCTTGGTCGCCTTAGTGGATGATCTGCGCCGGGAGCTAGACAGGGGGAGTGTGTCCCTGTTGGTGCTCCTGGACCTCTCAGCGGCCTTCGATACCGTCGACCACGGTATCCTTCTGGGGCGCCTTGCGGAAATGGGTCTTGGGGGCACTGCTCTGCAGTGGCTCCAGTCATTTCTGGAGGGTCGTACCCAGAAGGTGTTATTGGGGGACTCCTGTTCAACACCACAGCCTTTGACCTGTGGGGTTCCACAGGGTTCTATACTGTCCCCCATGCTGTTTAATATCTACATGAAGTCGCTGGGTGAGATCATCCGGAGTTTCGGGGTGCGGTGTCATCTGTACGCAGATGATGTCCAACTCTGTCACTCCTTCCCACCTGCTACTAAGGAGGCTGTCGAGGTCCTGAACCGGTGCCTGGCCGCTGTAATGGTCTGGATGAGGGCGAACAAACTGAAACTAAATCCAGACAAGACAGAGGTACTCCTGGTCAGTCGCAAGGCCGAACGGGGTATAGGGTTACAGCCTGTGCTGGACGGGGTCGCACTCCCCTTGAAGGCGCAGGTTCGCAGCTTGGGTGTGACCCTGGATTCATCTTTGAGCCTGGATCCCCAGGTTTCATCGGTGACCAGGGGAGCATTTGCACAGCTTAGGCTGGTGCGCCAGCTGCGCCCGTACCTTGGGAAGTCTGACTTGGCCACGGTGGTACATGCACTGGTCACATCCCGCCTTGACTACTGCAACGCTCTCTACGTGGGGCTGCCCTTGAAGACGGCCCGGAAGCTTCAGCTAGTCCAGCGCGCGGCAGCCATGTTACTAACGGGAGCGGGACGCAGGGAGCACACAACGCCCTTGTGTCCCAGCTCCACTGGCTGCCGATTTGCTACCGGGCCCAATTTAAGGTGCTGGTGTTATCCTACAAAGCCCTAAATGGTTCCGGCCCAAAATACCTCTCGGACCGCATCTTGGCCTATGAGCCCACGAGGACCTTGAGATCGTCTGGGGAGGCCCTTCTCTCGATTCCGCCTGCCTCGCAGGCGCGTCTGGCGGGGACGAGAGAGAGGGCCTTCTCAGTGGTGGCCCCCCGGCTGTGGAACGCCCTCCCTGCTGACATCAGACAGGCGCCCTCTCTCATGGCTTTCCGTAAGAGCCTAAAGACCTGGCTCTTCGAGAAGGCATTTAACTAGTCCCAGACTAACTGACAATGACAATGACAATCGGAACGAAATACGGATTATGAGACTGGTAGATCCCTATGTGGTGACGGTGCGGATTAGTTTAGTGTAATTTAGATTAAGCGTGTTATATGGTTTGTTGATATACTCTGTGTTTTTTGTAAACTGTTTTTATATGTTGTACACCGCCGCGAGTCGCCCTAGGGCTGAGAGCGGCGGTCAACAAATGCATTAAATAATAATAATAATAATAATTGCCACTGTCTCCTCCCCTTTGATAATGTAGCAATGGAATTCAGTGAGAGAACTTCCTTTTTAAAGGTATTTTTATTGCCCTGAGCTGGCCATGTGGCCATCTGTCATTTTCCCAGTCTCTTCTGCTTTTCTTTCTACCTATGAGGATGTACATTTTGCCTCTCTAGGCACATTTTGCCTCTCTAGACAAAATGTATCTGCATGGACTTTTTACTCTTTTATTTCTTCAGAAGATGAGATTTAGTAAGCTAATTAGTTCCAAGACCTTTTCTATCAATAATGAATTGCTTTTCCTTCAATATTTTTGAACCTGCTAACTGAAGGTTATTTTGAGCCTAACAGCTCAGATTCCCCAACCTATACTATGCCCCAAATACACCTGGTTTCAAGGTTCCCTGTTTTCCTCTTATCAATGAAAGAAACTATGGATTCTCTCTTTGGTTTATTGAGTGAAATACAGGTTAGAGAAGAAAAAGACTACTATGTTCAGATAACACAGTACCAAAACCACAACCACAATCTGTTGTTCTGCTCCAACTCAGAATGTACTTTAAAGAAATAAGCACATTAAAGGTTCAATGTGTACCTCATTGTCAAACTGAGAGAAATGGAAGATAATAAGCAATGAACAAAACCCAACAGTGATTTTTTACAGAATGAAAGCCATCTTAAATGTTTCCTTTTATTCTCTATTGAATTTTCAATGCCATGGCTAAAGCACTTCAAAACAAATATAATAAGCAAGAATCCTCAACAAAAAGTTGCAGCAATTAAGAGGTACTCCCCACTAATTCAGTGAAAACTAATGGTCAATTTACCACTTAGAGCTTTCTAGCTTAATCTTACACAGCTCTTCTCAGTGCAAATGAGCTCATCACAAAAGCAACAGAATGCAATTGCAGTTATCACTCTTCATTATACCTCCTCCTTATCTCCCTGCCACCCAAACCCATAATACTAACCCGAAAACTTGTTCTTGAAATAGATTAATCGAGGAAGTTCACAGTTAAGGAGATTCAGTGTGCCCGTCACATTTAAGGGTCTGATCTGTTATGGAGGAACAGAGGGAAGCTTAGAATTAATCTTCAATACACTCCATTTATGTTTTCAGAAAAAAAAAGATTAGCTTATATTTACAGTACAGGTGAGCAACTTACCCTTCTTAAGCCGATAGTCTGCACCCATTCCATAGTGTTTGCATTAAAAACATCAACACCATATTCACTGTAGACAGTTAAATAGAATGAATTGCAACCTGGAGGGGGGAAAAAGTAAAATCTGTCATTGTTGGACACATTTGAAATAAAGCTGAACACTCAAACTATTTCAGTGCTATTGTTTCTCAAACCCTGTCATCGGTGAAAGTTCTTTTAGGACCAATTCTTACCAACACAATGAATTAGTATCTCAGCTATACTACTTTAAAACTGCAGAATAAAACACTTGCGCATGAAAAGAAGACACAATTTCTGCATGAGGCGGATTAACCGAGAAGTGTTCTCCCCAACCGCTACCTGATGGTGTGTGCAGGATATTTTTTGTAAAGGTAAAGAACTCCATTTCACAGGTGCCCCGTCCCTTCAAAGGAACAGACCTGCTACAGCTGAACGTCTGAATAAATTATAGACTGGGCCACAAAGGAGTACCTTCCTTTCAATCATGACAGATAATTAGTGTTAAACTGGGGGGGGGGGGGGGGGGGGGAGATGACATGCTCAAGGCTACCTAGTGATTTATGGTATTCGGGCCCAACAGTTTCAGGGGCAGTCTAACAAACCAGCCTTGTCTTTGGACTGCAGCTATTAATTCTTAGAACCTGTTTCAAGACAGAATGCAAAACTGCAGAAAATCAAGATGGTTTCTCATTCTGCTTTTAAAAGTGTAATCTGAGATGAGAGTTGGTGACCCTTACTACCGACACTGTAGGAGACAAAAAGATGGTTGGAAATGTGGAAGGATGTTGTTCACTGTTTGTAGAAGGCTAACATCCAAGGAGTGTAAGATACTTCTCAACTGTGTTGAATTTTGAGGATAAAATGTTCTCTGGTTGAGATGAATTTGGGACATTACTTCTGGCAAAAAAATAACACCAGGTTGTAGCACTACCTTTTTACAATGGAAGATGAAATAGGGCTAATTCACATGATCCTTTGAGATCAATGCAACAAGGATGATGGCTTTCAAAACCATGAGTCATTCATCTGTTGAAATAAGAGGCTGGAATTCACCAGTTGAGAGAAGACAAGATAGATTACCAACCACTGGCAATCATCTTTGAGAGTTCTTGGGGAACGGGAGAAGTTCCACCAAATTGGAGGAGGGCCAATGTGGTCCCTATCTTCAAGAAGGGAAAAAAGGGTGACCCAAGCAATTACCATCCGGTCAGCCTCACATTGATAACAGGCAAGATTCTGGAAAAGAACGTTAAGGAAGTGGTCTGCAAACACTTAAAAACGAATGAAGTCATTGCTATTAGTCAACACGGATTTATCAAAAACAAGTCATGCTAAACTAATCTGATCTCTTTTTTTGATAGAGTTACAAGCTGGGTAGATGCAGGGAATGCCATGGATGTAGCGTATTTGGATTTCAGTAAGGCCTTCGACAAGGTCCCCTGAATATTAGGAAGAACTTCCAAACTGTGAGAGCTGTTGAGCAGTCGAACTCTCTGCCCCAGAGTGTGGTGGAGGCTCCTTCTTTGGAGGCTTTTAAAAAGAGGCTGGATGGTCATCTGTCGGGGGTGCTTTGAATGAGATTTTCCTTCTTTTTGGCAGGAGGTTGGACTGGATGGCCCACAAGGTCTCTTTCAAGTCTACAATTCTGTGAGAGTAACCATGGAGGTATTGGTAGCATGACTGGCAGATAAAAATGAGACAAACCCTTCATAAACTTCTTTACAATCAGATCAATGAAGAAAGTGGTAATTGATTGATCAGATGGTTGATTGGCCGCAATGGCTGAAAGGTAAACTTTTCAAGATGAAAATCATAAGCTTTGTTACTTTACATGTTGCAAGAAATGCAAAACTGTGGAAATGATGGCTAGAGATTGTTCAGAGTAAAAGGCAGCAAACATAGAGACACATTTCCATTTATGTGAGTTTGATCTATTAGCAGAATCCCGCTCCCCCCTTGCAAGAAAGCCACCAATCTAGCAGAGTTTAATGAGTTTTCCATCAGGCTGATAATCTAAACATCTGGATGTGGCATAGTTGGCCACTGGAATTAGACCGTGTCTGAGTGAGGTATCGAAGGACTATTTGGCACTGGCATTATAAACAAGTGAATATGTAGAGTTGAAGGGCATTTAGATGATCAACTTGTTGGCGAGTGGTGTGGAGAATGAGCTGCAACAGATGGAAACCAACTACGGTACCAAACATAAGAATTCTTTGAGTGGAATGGATATCTATATGGTATTGATGTCTATATGGAGAGTAGGGGTGATACAATCATGGGGCCTCTCTCCAAAGGATATCCATTGATATCTGTCCAGCTGTAACATTGAAGTAAATGATAAATCTTCACAACACCTGTATTCTTAGTGGGAAGGATACAAAGGTGCATTAAGACCTTTCAGGATAAAATGGGGATTTCTCTTGCCTAGGTGATCGAGATTAAGCCCTCAATGATAATCTCTAGGGAAAAGTTATAATCACTTGTGTTGAATGGAGCAAAGGAGAAGACAGAATGGCACCCTGTCATGGCTGAAAACCAGGCAAAGACAAGATTGACACAGGAATGAATGATACCAAAGCAACTACAGTAATGACTGTTTTGATTGTCAATACCGAAGAAGCAGCAACCCAAAGCTCAGCTGATAGTTCATTGAAACGCTTTGCTTTTTCTTCCTCTTCTTCTTAGATTCATGAGGAACTGATCCCATGGTGCCTCTTTATGTACTGTCTTTGAGCTGGAATGTTGTGCTAGAGCAGAAAACACAGGATCTCCTGAACTCTTACTGGGTGTCTTGCTAGGATTATGGGAGACCAACAAGACCAGAAACTCCAAAACCCTGGTACTGGATTTCTATAGAGACAAAGGCTGAGATACAGAAGAGCTTGGTATTAATAACTATTGAATCTATCCTGAGGATGTTGGTTCATATCAAGGTAGGCTTAAATTTGTCTCGTGGTTTTATAACAATCATAGATGCAATGTAAAGCAACTTTTTCTTAGATTCATGAGGAACTGATCCCATGGTGCCTCTTATGTACTGTCTTTGAGCTGGAATGTTGTGCTAGAGCAGAAAACACAGGATCTCCTGAACTCTTACTGGGTGTCCTGCTAGGATTATGGGAGACCAACAAGACCAGAAACTCCAAAACCCTGGTATTGGACTTCTATAGAGACAAAGGCTGAGATACAGAAGAGCTTGGTATTAATGACTATTGAATCTATCCTGAGGATGTTGGTTCGTATTAAGGTAGGCTTCAATTTGTCTCGTGGTTTTATAACAATCATAGATGCAATGTAAAGCAACTTGCAAGCCACTGTTTGTTTGGAAAGTTGTTTTTGCCAGACATATAACCACAAATTACAGGCTCCGTTTTTTTCATAGGCTGCATGATGAATCCTTGGGAGTTTGAATGCTATTGAACCACATGCCCCTCACCCAAACAGAAGAGACATTGCAAGAGCGTCAGATAAAGAGACTTCATGCTCAAATGAGGAGTAATGCTTAAATAGAGCTGTAGAGGCCATAAGTAGCTGAAGGGAATGGGAATGAATATGAGGTAAAGAGATTTTTTATTTAGCAGTAAAAATGAAAAATAGGGAGGAAAGTTAAAAGGAATTAGAAGAAAACAATATAGGAAATAAATGGAAATATAGGAAATAAACTACTCAACTCTAGAGTACATTGACAAGTGAGTCATTTGGTGGACAGAGAGAAACTGAGAGGAAGATAGCTTGGTGAGCTAGGACATGCACTGCCCACATGAGGAGAAGGGATTCATGCCAAATTACTTAGCTCTAGAACATTTGATGAATTCTATGTGCAGGTGTGAAAACCCATTTGACACCACAAGAAGAAATAAAATTTTCATGTCACAATGTTCCTGAAAGGAAGAGATATGAACACTGGAACCAATGAGATTTCAAAGAAAATTTTGATGTGTGGATGTAACATGAAATGATGTACCCAAGGAAATTTATTTTTTGAAATTATACTGGGAAACCCTATGGCTGATTTTGCTGCCATGCAATGAGATGAATATTCACCATGAGGGAGCTCAAACATTTTAAATGTATCATGGTTTTTGTTCATGTTTGCTGCAGTTTCAGAAAGCCTCCAAAATCTGCTGTCTGCCATAAAAAAGGATGCCTGCCAGCTCAGACCATTTAGTCAACTCAGATGGTGCATCAAATCAACAGTTATTTAGGCCAGTCTGGCAGAAATAGTTCTGACTTGTTCTATGTATTTGGCTATGTTTTACCTCTGAGTTTACAATCGTCAGGGGAGGCCCTGCTCTCAATCCCGCCACCCTGGCAAGCGCAATTGGTGGGGACGAGAGATAGGGTCTTATGGTGGTACCCCCCCCCCCGTGTCTATGGAACGCACTCCCCAGTGAAATCAGGGTGATTTCTTCTCTCCTCTCCTTTAGAAAAAAAGCTTAAAGCTTGGCTTTGGGACTAAGCATTCAGGCAGCTGACCGATCAGCAACTGCAATGACTTATAAGAACTGTCAATGAATAGAACTTGGACTGCAACTCTGGATTACTATTTGTATTTGGAGACTTAGGCTCAGTTGTGTTTTAATACTTAATAGTCAATATTTTAATGTGTTTTATAATCTTGTTGGTTTACTTAATGTTAATGGTTTATACTGCGACTGTTTGTTTCTTAGCATCTAATGATTGCCAGTTGTAAGCCGCCCTGAGCCCCCCTTTGGGGGTTGAGAAGGACAGGATATAAATGTTCAAAATAAATAAATAAATATTCAGAGGTATATTGGCCCTGAACACAGTGCTTCTATTAATCTGTCATGGCTGATAGCTATCATAGGGTTAGCGCTTACTTATTGCAGACAGGTTCCCAAGTCTTAATGAACAAGAAGTGCAATGGTTGAAGTGTTCCCTCTTGCTGGAAAATGTTTGGCAGTTGAATTCCTGTTCATTAAGTAAGTGCTTAAGACACAGGGGCCAGTTAATGAAAATGGGGAGTGGGCAATCTTAATCTACTGGTGTTTACCCTCTCCTGAAAAACATATAACATTTGTGGCTCTCTATTCTTCTTTTGGTGAGTTCCACAAGCTAATGGAATCCTCATCAAGGACTTTGGAAATATGTTTATATGGAGGCCAAGCAATTAGAAAAAAAACAAAGACAAGATAGGTGTATTTTAAAGGAAGCCAAAGTTAACACAAGTTTTAAAAAAGTTGGGGAGGAGGGTGATCTCTCAGAGCACTAGGACTTTCAAAAAGCAAAACAGGTTGAGAACACAAATTAATCTAGTACAGAGATTAGCAGGTTAATTTTGGTTTTTGCTCAAGGCATTTACAAAGCAAGGAAGGATCAAAATTATTCTTTGACTCGCCAAGGAGGTTCAAGCCATCCTAAATTTGAAAACTAAGCTAATTAATTGGTTATCAAAATATGAGTCACAGATTTTCCTGGAAGAGTCCCTAATCTCAATTAGCTTTCACCAGGAGGTGGTACACTTCACAGGCATTGATGCTCAGTGCTGAAACATAAACAGCAATAATCACATCCCTTTTCTTTTTATTGCTTTTGGAGCTAATCAAAGAAGAAAGTGTGGTCAAGGCAAGCAGAACATTCTTAGTCATGCTTTGGGTTTAAGTAGATTTGAACTGTTCTTAATTCAGGGCAGGTAATTATCCTAAAGTGTGATTACTATAATCTAATATAAAGAAAACATCTACAAAAGGAATAAGGAAAGGGGGAGAAGATGGACTTTCCTGTATTTTAACCTGTACCCAAGTGGACAAAGTGCAGCCCTTCTGATGTTGGATTGCAAGTCCATAGGATCCACCCAGCACATCCAATGTTGGGGAACATTGGGGTTGAGTTAACAATATGAGAAGAGCTGCCTTTTGTTCATCCCTGATGTAGGATATCTCATCCTTCTTGTATGTTGCCATGTAAGTATCAGTATAAAGTGAACAAAACGGGGTAAAACTGACCCAGCATCCTGTTTCCTCCAATTACCCACTAGTGTATTCTAGAAAGCTTGCAAGCACAAGAGAGGAAAAGTTTTTCCTGATAACTGCCCCCAAAGCAGCTGCTATTTATGGAAATATCAAATTGCTTTCGTCATAAAAACATACACAAACTGAGCTTTCATTAGCTTTTCTATATTGCCAGTTTAGTGAGAGAAACATATACAATCTATACCAGAGGTCCTCAAACCTTTTAAAACAGGTCACAGTCCCTCAAACTGTTTTCAAAGAAAAAATGAATGAATTTCTATGCACACTACACATATATTATTTGTAGTGCAAAAAAAAAACACATAAAAACAATACGATAATTAAAATGAAGAACAATTTTAACAGCTATAAACTTATTAGTATTTCAATGGGAAGTGTGAGCCTGCTTTTGGCTGATGAGATAGGATTGTTGTTGTTGTTGTATGCTTTCAAGTTGTTTCAGACTTAGGTTGACCCTGAGCGAGGGCCAGGTAAATGACCTTGGAGGGCCGTATCCAGCCCCCGGACCTTAGTTTGAGGACTCCTGATCTATACAGTTCTATTATTTAAAATACCAAATTCTGCCCATCACACAAAGTTTAAGGTGTAATTGTTGAGACATAAAGATATTCAGAGATTATTTTCAGACAAAGGAAGCAGAAACAAGAATATGACAACAGAAAAACATATACATACTACAGGCAGCAGGCGTTGCAGGCCACATTAGTTCCTGCATGCGCGACCTTCGACCTTGTGCATCCACGTACACTCCAAATTGGCTGAAGCAAAGCAGGTATTCTTCATTGCTGAGCTCCACAGCACAAAGGGCATCAAAAGACTGTTGTGAGAGGAATGCAAGCGAAGGATCATTGGGATTTACCAGGTTTATAGATTGTCCATCTCCCTGGATGTTCAACAGAGAGAAACCAGAAGGGTAGCCTACACAAAGCCTGTCTTTGAACACTGCCATCCACTGTATATTGCCGGGAGCCTGGACTTCATTGAACTTTTTATGGAAAGGTTTAGTCCTGTGAACTTCATAGCACAGAACTTGCCGCTTGACTGCCACAAATAAACTAGTTGAAGAAGTCTTCTTCAGTGTCCCAGTTGTAACAAACTGACAACCTTTAGTTTCAGGAAGCTTAACGTCAAAGCTGCCTTCAGAACCATCCAGGGAGGACCAAGGATATAAATGAACATGGTGATTCCGACCACATATAAGAATAATGACTTTCTCTTTGGGAGCAAGCTCTATCTGGTAGACCTTCTTGCAGTCAGCAGCTCGGACAATCACTGTGGGAACAAGAGATCCATGTGAGTCTTGGAAGTGTAAATAGTGTTATGTTAAGCATTTAGCAATATAATTATTTAGAAAACAGATTTATTCACATCTCCCCAATAACAGAAGTAAACACCTGACAAATCTCAGTCTTAAATATCTCTTAAAACTGTACATTAACAGCCGGGAATGGACACCTCATCATTAATAATAGTGAACCTAAATTTCTCCAAATTTGCACATGCCTTGCTCACCTCATCCAACGGGCTATTTTCTATCTAACCTTGCTACACAGCAATCACACAGATAAGGCTTATTGCATCTACAAACTGGACCTTCCCATTTAAAATATTTGGGGGGAAACAAGCACATTTTACATTGTATCAGAGTAAACAAATATATATCTTCATCACTAAGTTATTTTTTTATATAAAGTGAAAATATGTTCATTTTTATCAAAGAAACGATAGGAAGAAAGGTTCTACGGAGAAAAAAAAACTTATAGCGAAAATGCAACAGAATGTCCAGCTGGAGAAATATGAGGAGATGAATTCAGTATGGAAAAAGCAAAGGTGAAATGATAGATTCCAGAAAGAGAAGCAAGATTTTTTACCTGTAATTGGTTCTTCAAATGGTCATGTGTGAACAGACACACATGGGTTGCTCAGAGCTTTCCAGATACCTCTAGAACGAAGTAAAATGATTTGAGGGAGGAACCCCATAATCACCTAGTAGAAATGTCCTTCCTCTCAGTTCTGTGTATACTGGAGTACCAGAAACCAGGACAGAGACCAAACCCTGTCCCATTAATGACAGTGCTTTTAGAATGTCTGTCCAAAATCATTACACTTAATTCTCGGTACTGGTACAGAACAACCCATATGTGAGATTTGCGCAAAGACCATGAGAAAGATTTTATGATTACTCTAAGCAGTTATATTATATGCAAAATGTATGATTCTAATGTGGTTAATGTGATTAAACCACAAAAACTCTGTAGGAATTTAGTTCACAATGGTCCATATTTCTAGTGGTAGAAACATCTCAGCATTCAGCTAACCTTGAAGTGCTGGAGAAAAAAACCCAGAATAATATAAAAGAAAAGTCAAAATGGCGCATTGGTTTGAGTAACACTACCACCTTGAAGATGGAAGCTGGCAACTTCCCCAAAGGCAAGTGAGTGATAAGAATGAGTGACAGGTGGCTGGGCTTATGAAAATCTGTGCTACTGTCCTACAGTATTTAATAAATAAGGGACTTCAGCATTCATCTTTTCAGGTATCTACAAAAGGTCCTGGAAGCAAAAACCACCCATTCATACAGGAGGTCAGTAATCCTAGAATATTAGAAAATGTTGGCCATTTCCACTACCTTGGCAGCCACCTCTCCACCAAAGTCAACATTGACACCGAAATACAATGAATGAAGCAGAGAGTGTTTGAGGACAGGGACATCAGTACGGATACCAAGATGCTTGTTTACAAAGCAATTGTCTTCCCAACCCTACTATATGCCTGTGAAACGTAGACTGTCTACAGACATCACATGCAACTCTTGGAACGATTCCATCAGTGCTGCCTCGGAAAAATGTCAACATGCTGGAAGAAGCAAAGACCACCAGCACTGAAGCGATGGTCTTCCACCATCAACCGGCTATGTTGTCCAGATGCCTGACCACCGTCTCCCAAAGCAGTTGCTCTACTCTGAACTCAAGAACGGACAACAGAATGTTGGTGGGCAGGAAAACAGATTTAAAGATGGGCTCAAAGCTAACCTTAAAAACTCTGGCATAGACATTGAGAACTGGGAAGCCCTGGTACTTGAGCGCTCCAGCTGGAGGTCAGCCGTGATCAGCAGTGCTGCAGAATTTGAAGAGGCACAAATGGAGGGCGAAAGAGAGAAGCATGCCAAGAGGAAGGCGTGTCAAGCCAACCCTGGCCAGGACCACCTTCCACCTGGAAACCAATGCCCTCACTGCAGGATGCAGATCAAGAATAGGGTTCCACAGTCACCTGCGAACCCACCCCACACTGCACACTGACCCTGGAAAACCATCCTACTTGGACAGCAAGGGATCACCTAAGTAAATAAGTAAAGTAAGTAATCCTCGCACTGAATAATACTGGAATTTGGAGCTTCTGATTCTAATTAGGGATGTTCAACCTGCAGCAGTCAGGACTTCAAGAGGCCCCAGAGCAGTGGTTCTCAACCTGTGGGTCCGCAGGTGTTTTGGCCTACAACTCCCAAAAATCCCAGCCAGTTTACTATCTGCTAGGATTTCTGGGAGTTGAAGGCCAAAACATCTGGGGACCCACAGGTTGAGTGGGTGTTACAGCTGTGGAAAAATGCTTTCCCATTTCTTCATATAGCATATTGCTTCCAGCAACAGGATACAGAAGAGAGATACTTCTGGTAGATCTTAGAAATCAAGCAGGTACATAGCGTGAGAGGTACTTCCTCTAATTAGAGCTTGGGAGTAATTCATCAAATTAATTCATTAAACTTAGTTCATTAAATAAGTCAAAATGGTTTTAAAAATCATTATTAACCACAAATGTTATTTCTGAGCAATGATTCATTTTCTTGTTACTTACATTTGTCAATGATCATTTCTAGTAACTTTAAAAGGTTTTTTCAATTGAGTAGTTTACTGCATCAATTAATTTAGAATGATTAATTGTTTTTCCTTAAGACACTACCAAATTAATTTCAATAAGTTAATGTGACATTAAAATATTAGTTTTCTAATATTAATATTTCTAAATTCTGCCTGAAATATTGAGGTTACAAGATGTTTTCAGAAACATCATGAACCTTATCACCGACTTGAAATTGTTGTGACAGGCAATACAACATTTTTATATCTGTAATTGTGGTTAATATAAATCTAATGTTCTGTGTGATGCTCCATAAAAATAAAATCTGACATCTTTGTGAAAGTCATACCATCTTTGTATGATACTCCTGCCAGAAATCTAGCTGCCACATTTTGCACTACTTGCAGAATCTATTTTTTCATCAAAGGAAGCCCATCATAGGGTGTATTGTCATATTTTGCACTATAAATGCCAAGGGGCATAGTCTAATGCTTTGGCACTGCATCGATATTGCAAGTGAACTTTGCTATAACAATTAAATTCACACCAAACAACTTCATGCAAAACAGAAACTTTCCTTAATATCCTAACAGAAACCAATTCATATAGTTGTACTGTAGCAGCAATATCTTACCATTCTGTAACAATTTGATTTCAATATAAAAAAGAGGTGTAAAAGAAGTTCAATTTAACTACATAGAAATGTAAGCTATTCTCAGAAAAAGCAAATTCAGGAAAGCACTATGCAGTTTTGTTAAACCTGCTCTCAAAGGAAAGTAACCTTTAAACCCCCTAAATTCATGTTTAGTTTGGACTGCACAGAAATCCAGATCTTAAACTGACGCCCATTTAAATGACCCATGTGCTATTTTTAGCTCTCCTGCTAAAGCAAGCAAATAAAGAATTTTATCTGTACACAGCTGTTCAGTCATCAAAAAGAAAAATACCCCAGAGTAGAACAGATAGTCACTTATCAGAATTCATAACTCAGGGTCACCAAGATGCCATACAAAATTGTTTTTCAAATGCATTTGTTGACTAACACCAGGTAAATACAAAAGTCAGGCACATTTTTTTGTCACACTCTTACCTAACTCTTTTAGGAATTATTTTGATATACTTAAATAATCCAAGCTTTATATTTTAGTTCTTCAACTTCACACACAGTGCAGTCACTACACAGTCTCTCAGATAAAGGTATTTTCTCATGTCTTCTCTCCAGAACTACCAGTGAAAACATATCAAATTGAACTCCTATCCTCAATATATATATATAAGAACTCCTATCCTCAATTTATATATATATATATATATATATATATATATATATATATATATATATATATAGAGAGAGAGAGAGAGAGAGAGAGAGAGAGAGAGAGATAGAGATAGAGATAGAGATAGATCTTTTCATTATATTACACAAGGGAAAAGTTAAAAAACTGCAGGGGCAAATGCTGGGAGGCAGGAGTCACTCATTCAACTCATAATATAAAGGACATCTTTCTGCTATTCCTCTCATTTTTGGCAACAACATAATGACATCAATCAAAACTAAAAATTGGAATAGGCCACAAATTGAGTAGATCAGCAATTCACAGGGGTTTTTTTGGTATTTCATACACATACATATGTATGTATTTGTTGTATCTCAGGCTAAAATTCACCTTGCTCTCTCTGACAAACCAGCCAAACTTATGAAGAAAGA